TGGATATTCATAATTGAATGAATCCGACGGGACAGAATTCTCGTTACACACACACACACACACACACACAATTACACGTCAATACCGCTTCGCCACGGATTCATTATCGCTAAATCGCGCGCGCCGATTAATCGCGACATCGACCGATATATTAAACAAATAGCTGTAGCGGCGAGCCGCGGGAGGGAAGAAAAAAAACGGGCGCATCGCGTTAAAGTATCCGGCGGACTGGAACGAAAGGATATACGTGAACGTCACGCATCGCGAACGACGTGTAACCATTATCATAAATATATTAAATCCGATCTAACGTACGTTCTTCTCGGCTCGGCCTGGGTTGCGATGTGATCGTTCAATTTCCACGCCGTCGCGCTGGAAGACAAACGATCGGCGATTCTCGTTACGCGCTCTGTGGATCGCTTGCTGCACCGATAGAATCCGACATGTGTCCCGGTCGCGAGAGATCCCGGAAAGTGACACGTACGCCTACTGGTGCTTAAAATGTACGAGCCCTTTCACAGCTATTTGTAAACGTCAACAGGTCTGTCGCGACGTGTGGAGGCGCTTCTTTCAAAACATAGCTATATTTCATACAGGTATACATACAGAGTGTTAGTCAAGTGTGTTGCCATACTCGACCGATTCTTTGGTTTATTTCAAGTAAAGAAGCCCATACAAACGTGTGTCCTAAACGGTTTATTTAAAAGAAATACAGCTGAAGCCAGTCAAAACAGGCTTCACACAGTTCTTCTGATGAAATAAAACAATTAGATGAATTGTTGAAAATATGTCCACCTTGCGCCATGATACATCCATCGAGCCTTCTTCTCAAAGATCGACGTATCACGCTCAAAGATACCAGGTATGCCTCGCATGAAGCAACTATTCGATTCCTCAAATCATTCTCAATTGGGGTGGTATAAACCAATGATTGTAGATGCCCCCAAAGGAAATAGTTCAAAGGATTTAAGTCCGATGATCTGGGAGGCTTCGGCTTTGACTTTGTCACTTTGTTTACGGTTGTGCGAATGGTAACTCATGTGAAGCAAGGCATATTTATTCCTGCAAGGCAGGAAGATATCTCCAACGGATATCTTTACCGTTTCGTCAAACATTTGCGAACATTCACCTGTATTTCGGAAACTAAGCCGTTTAGAACACACGTTTATATGGACTTTTTTTACTTGAAATAAATCAAAGAATCGCTCTCTGTTGAGTATGGCAACCTACTTAATTAACACCCTGTATACATATAATATAATATATTTTTTTGTATATAAGTACATAATATTGTATATAAATGCGGATTGAACGTTGCAAGAAATTGTGCGTAGTTGTGATAAAATAATATAAAAAGAAATGCAAGAGTTATGAAATTATAATATCAGGCTGTGAGGAAGATGATATAGAATAAGAAAGATAGAAAGCTAAAATTAAGAAAAAGAAAAAGAATAATTAGATGAATAGAAAGATAGGTGGTAGAATATTGTAAGTTTAAGTAATGCACTCGTGAAAGATGTGGATGGATGAGGCGGTTAAGGATAGTGTAAATCTAGTCCCCTTTTTGTATATGCTGAATTATTATTATTATATTACTATTACGTTATTTTATTATGTATACATTTTTGTGTGTTTTCGTATTAGATAGCATTTATCTCTCTAGAAAAATATCTCAAGTTTTATGAAAATTAGAGAACGGATCTCTTTTAGAGAGGAAGGATCACTTATTATCTTCGATCCCATGTAACTTGTTATTAGCTTCGATTCAAAAAATATGGACTGTTGAGATTCAAACATTTGTTACATCGGTATTGGGAAGTCTGTAAAGACTTGATTCTATTCCTATAATATATATCATGTGAACGCATCGGATTAACGGGGGAATCCTGCTCAGGGCTATATCTCTCTGTGATCGATGAGGACCCTTCTACACCTGCATATTACGCTTCTCGCGTACGATCACTTGGAAATCGTAATTTAGATTGATACCTGACGTTTCGTTAAGTATATCGCACGTTTAAGTGCCGGGATCCACTTTTATCGATAGGATTTCGAGACGCGATAGATGATAATGGATGGCCGTCAGTTGCGATGAGAAAGATTACTGTCTTTATAGCAGCCCCTCCTCATAGCAGCGATCTTATATCATATCTAATATTTACGAAAAGAGCATTATTATCAATTCAAGAATGCTATATTGTAATCCAGTCGGAATATTTTTTAATTATTTTTTTAAGGATTATAGCTACAGACACAGAGACAAAGGTATTTGGTATTTATGGCTATAATTGCATGCTGAAATAATTATGGTTAGGAATTCCGTTTTTATAGTTATTACTACTATAATGTTAGTACTAATTTATAGTTCTACCAAAAAGATAATAACTATAAATTATAGTTAAATTATGATAATTACAATCATTTTTTTCCTCAATGAAGGGCAATTACATATTTAGGACAACAAAATTAAAATTTTAGTAATTTGTCGTACAATAATTTCTGTAACAAATATAAAACAACAAGCTCGTGATTCGTAAACATGTCGTTTCCAGTTTAAGCACGAATAACTTTGAAAACGGTGATTGCTTTTTTAATCAGCTAAAAAGCTGTCATGTTAGATTTCTGAAAATAAACGCGATATCTGTGCGAGGACACGATGTGCAACGATATCTGTATATCGTTCACCATTCTGTCTTGCATCATTAATTTCTGATAATCTGCAACGTGTTTAACAAGACGACAGATCCTGTCTCAGACAGAGCGTGTCAAAACATAGCGTTTATTAAAAGTTTAATCGAACGTTTCTTCTTTTTATTTTTTTCTTTTTCCGGTAAGTATCACCGATTATTTCGTCAAAAAAAGAAAATGTTTAAAAGGCTATCGGGAAATTATGCAGCTGTACAGTTCACCGTTGTAATTATATTGAGCTTAATTCTGCCGTTCTTCTTCACTTTATCGTTTACGATTTTATTCCCACCACGAATGTGTGAGGTGGGCTTTAGTCAGTCGCACCGACGAAATGATCTCGTTTCCGTCGTGCGACGATGATAGTCCAATCGGCCTTAATCTCTGTCGCATCGTCGCTTCATTCATCCACTTAGCGCGCTCATTATGTGGCGCGGCTGGTAGCCAAGCGGCTCGTAAAACACAACAAGCACTTTCCGTGGTCATTTCGTACGGATATAACATTAAATTCGGTCGGTCCGCAATCACGCGTTACGCGGCGCATTACATAAACGTTTCATTTCGTTCGACGCCCGTAATTAGCTCTGAATGACGGCCGTTCTTGTGCATATTAAATCATTAGTGTGTTTATGTAACCGGGTATTAAGTGGCCGAGGAAATTCCTATCAGCTCTGTTAATCGCCATCAATCTTGACCGATTGAGCCGTATAGGGATTATTATTCGAATCTACAACGTGTCCAATTTTCGAGGTCTTTTTCAGATACTTGGCTAATTACTAATATTTTCGTATCCATTTTTGAAGAATTATATTTTTCAATAATTATATTTATTAAGAAAATTAATGTTTTTCATTTTAGGAAGGAAGTAATATTCGATACTTTTTTTTTATGCATTGTTTTTTTAATGCATTTGGCATATATAAAGGTTCCTTTTTTTTTTTTTGGAAAGAGGTTTCTTTTTTCAAGAGATCAATTGAGTGTTTTGGGATTTTTTTTCGTCTTTATCTTCCAACAAAAGATACAACGTCGTCGCGTGCATAGAACGATTATGGTCGTCGGACTTTATCGCGAAGTCGGCGCGGACATTCGGTTTTGACGCGGTATGACGGGCTTCCAGCACGTGTCCGAGTCACGCGTATTGCGACCTCGCGAGAATCTCCCTTCCGATCCCTTTGCTCGTTACCTCGGCGAAATAGCGATCGTAATCGACGCTGCAATTTGCGTATGCGCTCTAGCCTCGAGCGACTATCGATTAACATTTTCACTTGCCGCGCAGTATAATCGAGGAACGTTGACAGCTTTCTTACAAGTTGTCTCTTTGAGATTATCGGTAGATAAAATGGAAATGCATCGTTAGTAAATCGATTATTTGTTAAAGCTTTTTTTCGCGTCGTCATTCGCGATTTCTGACTTCTATATCGACGCAAACCTGCGATTCTATTATTAAAGTGATATTATTAAAGTGATTAACATAAAGGTTTTGAGAAATGACAAAACTCTGAGCAAGTATAATAAATCTATTAGTGTCTCAACGCGAGAGTTGATTAATAATTTCTGATGCCGCATTTCATGCGTAAGAAAATATATTTATTTATAAAATATAGTTATAAAATCTTCAATTATAGCTGCGAAAATTATAACCTAATATAAATTCTAAATTGTCCTATTTGGAGGTAAACTCTTTTTTTTTTTTTTTACGGCGATTAATGCCCGTGTTCATAGTCAGGCCTTACATTTAAGGCTTCTTTACATTTATCTTCAGATGCTCTACGAATTATTTCATTGGCTACTGAGCATCTAAAGATAAATTTAAGGAAGCCTTAAGTATAAGGTCTGACCTGAATACAGGCATACATATAAGAGCTAGCTTTAAAATTTGTTTTACTATAATTTAGAATCTCATCGAGCATATAAATAAAAATTGTACAATCATTGAAGAATTTTTGCTTTGAGTTTAAATGTAATTGCTGTAATCGAAAGGTTACGTACTATTGGCGTAATTATTGTATTTATTATTGATTTTAATTCAATATTTACATGGAAAGAAGATTTTTGTTAAAGTACCTAAAAATTTAGGTAGATGTGTAAAAATAATTTTATTGAATTATCCAAATAATCATGTAGGACGCTCAAGCTTGTTGTTAGAACGTCAAAAGTGTTTTTGCAGTATGACTCGTTACACTTGAATCTCGTACATAATTATTTGGATGACCCAACAAAATTACTTTCAGATTATTTTCTAGTTAAATTTTCAAATGTTTCAGTCAAAATCATTGTTCCCTTTTGTAGTATCGTAAATGTAACTGTTTTCTCACCTCGATCGCTGTGGCTCCTGGATCTGCCCAAGAATGAGAAGGGCTATCGCGATTGTCGCGATATCACCGCGACGCATCTCTTACATCACAATCACCTTGTTGTTATTGAATGTAAAAAGCGGATGTGCACGCGACAAAGTTTTACGCTTCCGCGATCAGCGGATGAACGACGCTCACCGGAAGTTGATCGTTCGGAACTGGGATCGACCCTGTTCCGTTGTCAAGTCGAATCATGTGAGATCTCGTGGTGCGTGTGCAGTCTCCGTTACCGCTCGGCGAGCACGGTCTCTCTCTCTCTCTCTCTCTCTCTCTCTCTCACACTCAACAGGCTCGTGTGTTGTCGGACATCGTGATATTTACAACGATATTTTACAACATGAAACTTTTGTCTAATGTCTTGGATGTTTATCCAACACCTGCTTCGAGCGACGTCGTGAGAAGTTCCTCGTTGCGATTTCAATCACTGTAATCACTCTGCGTTCTCGTTAGCACCTCATAGCGAACACAAAGCCCCGCGTGCACCGGGCAGGTGCGAAAGAGCCGAACTGCAGAGCCAACATTTGGATTATTCTTAAAGTGTTTGCGCGCGTTTTAAAACTTTACGGTCGTACCGTGCCGTGCCGCGCGAGTGTGTTTACGGTCTCCAAATATTCTTTTCCCGAAAGGCGGCGTCCTCACCTTCTCGTCGACGATGACTAAGCGGCTGAACGATTCGTCTCTCGCAAATGTATCTTCGAATCGTGCACATCGATCGCGTATCGTGTGCCACGGGTGTGGTACTTCCATCGGTGATAATTGAGACCGGACCTCGCAGAGGGCTCGCGCGCGATCCGTAAATTCGATCAGCGGGTGGTCACAGTCCCACAGCGATGACGAAGGTAACGGAGTCGTCGTGCGAGTGCACCGCGTCCATTTTCGAAACGGCGGTTATTGCCGGCGGTATCGGTGGAATGTAGCCTTAAGTAAGATTTACTCGATTCACTTTAATGAGAGGCGCGATCGGCAACCGACTCGATCTCTAGAAAGTCCGCTATCCCGAGCCGGTAACGCGTTTATCTTTAGAAGAAACGGTGGATCGGTTATCCTAACGAGCGAACGACGATCGCGCGCGCGAGGTCTCGTTAGCAAATAGATACCAATTAAAAAGATAATGAAGTACCGTCATTATCGACGCGGCGTACTTAATATATATCCGAGCTCCCAAGATCGCAGATATACGCAAGCTCACGCGACGCGCTATCGTCGAGGAACGACGATCTTTTGCCGTCTCACGCGAGAATGTCGGCCGATTGTCATCGCCGCGGAGATCCTCGTCGTCGTCTCGTTAACGATTTCGATGCAGAGGGAACTTATCGCTTGGTTCATCATCATCACTCCCCCGCGCGCAAAACGCTTAACGATCCTCTCCTTCGCCGGCGGAGATCGCGCCAGCGAGATCGCGTAAACTGCAAAAACCGGTGATCGATCGTCCGACAGTCACGAGAGAGAAAGAGACGTGTTCGCTTCGCGGTTACTCTTCTTCTTCTTCGGCAATCGCCCGAGCGCGCTACTCGTTCGCCTCTGGCTCGAACGAGAGAGAATTCCAGTGCTCAAAGAGCACCCTCCCGACGAGAGGAGCTCTGGCTACCGGTTCTTATTGTCTCGTTGTCTTATTGTTCCGCCGTGTCAGTCCTTTTGAATCCGCGCCTCGTCGACTTGGAGCACCACGTCGCGAACAAAGCCGCGCGAAGAATATCCCTTGTGAAGCTCCTCTGCGCTCCACTTCCTGTCCGGCGTTCCCTCTTCGTACGATCGGCAACCCTCGGTTTTCGTATCCGAGTGCGCAACCGGCATCGGCGATCGCTGGTCGATGTTCGTTTCATTAGCGTTCAAATCGAGGCAATGTCCTCGATCGCCTCGCGGCCAACAGTATGATCCAGATTTCAGCAATTGAGATCGTCTCCTGCGCTCCGCAGCTCGACGTTCGCGAGAACCGTCATCTTTCTTCACGCGTCACCGCCTCAAGATTGTATCGTTCGTTGCGCGTCGTTATTCATCGTCCATCCACACGAGAGAAATGTCATCGCCTCCGAGAGATCGATAAACCTTTTTTTCAGACGACAAAAATTCTCCCGACGAGCAGAGAGAGTGTTCGGGTGATACGAAAAAAAGAGTGTGCCTGTCGAACGATTTTTAATGTACGAACGTGGTTATAGACTGATCATCGGATCGTGGGATCGTATAATCGTCGATCCGTTTGTATCGTGTCGCGTGCACAACACCGGCACGCGTGCGAGAACTGGAACAGAGGGTAACTGTGCAAGGTGTGCGATACAACCTGGTGCTCAAGGTAACCACCGCCACCACCACTACTGGCACCACCACCACCACCACCATCACCACCACCACCATCACCACCACCACCACCACCACCACAACCACCACCACCATCACCACCACCACCACCACCACCACCATCTGCACTATAACCAACGGCACTGCGATCGCCGGCTACGAGTTCCTGTCATGGGGAGCCAGCCACCGGGAGACCGGAGGGTTCAACGAGTTGCTCGCAGAGAGTTCGACGAGCAGCGCGTCGCGCGCGCATGGGAATTTGAACGAGCGGGCAGAAAGTAAAGCGCGTGTTCGGTCGAGAGGAGGGCCCGCGATGGACTGGCCTCGGCCACAACCCGCGTCCTCCTACCTTTGGGATCAGGTCTCGCAGCTACGATGTTACCTCTACGATCCTACCTCCTCGCATATCTCAACCTCTCTTTCTCGCTCTCTTGTTTCCCGCTCGCTCTCTTCTCATTTCTCGTTCTCCCCGTCTCTCTCTCTCTGTCTCTCTCTCTCTCTCTCTCTTTCTCTCTCTCGCTCTCCCCCTTCCTCCCGCGGCTCTCTCTGTTACTCTCTTGCTTTTTTCCTTCGTTCTTACTCTCTTCCTACTCTCTACTTTGCTTCTCCGTTTCATTTCCACCCGATTCCCCGTTACCTTTCCTCCGCATTGCTGCCGCGCGCGTTACATCCTCCCGGTCGTTCTTCTCGCTACTTACCAACCGCACGTTTTGCTTTAGTTTGAAAGTTACTTGCCCACCCGCCGCCCGCCGATGTTCCCTCGAATGCCAGACGTCGTACGTCTACATCCGCGAAATCACCATCGCGGATTTGTGCCCATTGCGTGTTTTCGATCGCACGCCAGATAGCACGGCGATGATACGCGAGAATCACAAACGCTTGTTACTGTCTCGATGTACGATATCTATGTTAATGGACACCAAGCCTTTCAACTCCGCACGATGAACAGATATTGATTTTAATATGCAATCGAATATTATATTACGTATTATGATTTTCTTATCAGCCATCGCAATGGCTACGAGCATAGTAATACACGTAAACTATAGAATAGCAAAGTTCATGTATAAACCAATGAAAAGATAATATTTCTCATAAAATTGTAGATTTTATGCTGTTTGTAAAAGTATACAAGGATGAACGAATCGTATTTCCAGAGGTGTAAATTCGAATTGTTTAATGTTAAAGATATTGGCTTTGGAGAGTTCGATTAAGTTGTTCGATAAATTGAATCCGTTCAGCACGAACAGGATAATTGACTATTCCTACACCTACGTCGAGCAGAAGATCAGATTGTGTTACGTTGTGTAAACTTTTTTTTTTTAAGGCACTATGCATTTTAAGGTGCTTAAATTTATTAACTTTACAACGTGGGTTCAGCTTCGGAAATTATAGCTCGAGAAAGCTTTACGAACTGCATACTCGAGACTTCAGACTGATGGAACGAATCGATCACTTGAATTTGAGATAAAATCATGTGTAACTCTTGAAGATATAATAGTTATAACAGGATTTTTTATCGTTCACGCAAATAGGAAAAATTGCGCTGAATTGCACATAATTACATCGATAATTATCTTTGCATAAAAAATTGTTACTTAAAGAAACATAAAACGCCGAACAAAGTATATTATCTCGTTACATAACGTTATATAACCGAGAAACCGAGAATGACGAGTGATACACTTCTGCGTGCAAAACTTTGATCGTATATTTTGTTTCGGGAGTGGATCGATCGAGATCCGATCGGGTCCAATCAATTTGAAGTAGATGTGAGAGATGTGCCTCATCCGGTTGACTAGTACACATCGACATACTTAAGAAAGCGCTCGAGATACCGATCGTTTAGGTATATCTAAACGATCTTCGCGATGAGAGTTGATTGCTCGTAAGAAGGAATTTTAAGGATGTCACTCTCGAGCCACCTCATTGCGTTGCGTGGAACGAATCGATCATTAAACGTCACATTCGAGAATCCGCGTTGAACATGCGACTGGTACACTTGGCGGAGAGAGAGAGAGAGAGAGAGAGAGAGAGAGAGAGAGAGAGAGGGAGAGAGGGAGAAAGAGAGAGAGAGAGAGAGAGAGCGCGCTAAAAATATTAGGTTGTTCGGAAAGTAATTTCGTTTTTTCCCAACAGAGGACTTATTGTATTTTTTCACAGCCAACTTCACACTTAAGCCGCATAATCATTATATATTTTGACAGCTGATATAGCAAGGCTTGCTTGTGAAAAAAGTTCGATTGATTCTACGCAGTAGTTTTTGGTTGGTGCCCTATCAAATATGAAAGTGAAAAGCAGCATTTTCGGCATATTTTACTTTTGAAAAGGTAAAAATGCTGTTCAAGCAAGAAAAAAATTATCCGATGTGTATGGAGAAGATGTATTGACAGAACGCCAGTGCCAAAACTGGTTTGCAAAATTTCGATCCGGCAATTTTGATGTTGAAGATGCACCACGTTCTGGAAGGCCAGTTGAAGCTGATGAAGACACAATAAAGGCATTAATTGATCCAAACCGGCGAATAACAACTCGTGAGATCGCTGAGAGATTAAATTTATCGAATTCGACCGTTCATGATCATTTGAAACGCGTCTGATTGAAAATCGTCTTTCATTTTCATAAGAAAAAACGAAATTACTTTCCGAACAACCTAATAAAATAACCATGTAATGCTGAGACATACACGGCTCACGCGCGCGCATTCGGCCAAATTTTCCAGAGTCCTTTCTTTTCTTTATTCTTTTACGTTCGACAATTAGGGAAGTTATTGGTGCCGCCGGGGTACCGTTCGTGACATCGGAAATTAGTATGTTCAACTCTTGGCAATTTTCTGCCCTCTTATAGTCCCGTGGCATGCAAAATGCGAGCGCGATATACACGTACAGTGAGTAAAGTATATGCACGCGGGCGATGAAAATTTTATTCAGAGGACGGATCTCGTTGAGCGCTCCGCTTACGTGGACTCGCGCAATTCCCTTTGCCGTTCGAGGAAACAAGCGTGCCGTATAACAACCAAAGGGGGCCCCCTGAGCGAATTCCATTAATTATATACCATTACGTCGTAATTGTACGCCATATGTTTTCGGTTTTAAGGGGGGTCTCGTCAAGTTGGGTCGCCGTCTCTCACGTATATGCCTCGCACGATCCGATACTGTCAAGACGGGGAGAAAAAGAAATAAAGTGATCACCACGACCCTCCCCCGGTAACGCAACGCTACAAAATATCCCTCCATTTTCGAAAAGAAGGACGCGAGCCTGACGAGGATCTGACGCGAAACGCCGTATCTTCTTCTTTGACTAGAACATATTTCATTTAAGTATACTATATATATCTTTCTCTCCTTATTACTAGCCAAGTATAGATCTCGACTTCGTATTTCTCCTTTCCATTTTTAGAAATTTCAAATTATACGTTACCCGTCTTGTAAAAATCGAAACGTAATATATAAATGCGAGGTTAAGCGAATAATGCTATTCGTGACAATAATACTGTACCACTTTATTTGTGAGCTGGACAAATGACAGGAAACATGTCTGGCTGAGCAGAGTGCATTTGGTGGACAACCTACAAAAACGATTCGTTCATGTAGGATAGAATTTCTTTCATGTGGATACGTATAAATATCGTTTTATAAAATCATGTACCAATAATAATTATAATTTCACATGTAATTTTATAATCAAGGGGCGACAATAATGGATGTATACCGGAAGCTACGTTGAATCATTGCGTACGGGATACAGGTACATATAAAACACGAGCAAGAGACAAAGCCAGGCATTATGCAGTCATTGTCAATCCCCCATTTTTTATACTCATCTTGTCCGCTACCGTCGGTTCTCGTGATTTCTTGCGTTTCCCTCGTAGAGGCGATTGAGTATTCTCTTGCGCAGGTAACGGACGGGCACCGTAAAAATGTTTACAGCCCACCACGTGAATTTCGAGCGTGCAGTTTTCACGCTGCAGCGCTTTAACGGAACATCATTAGCTTTACGATATAGCCGGTAATTTATAACACCGTTTAATTAATGATGCTTTACGGACAATGCGATGTAATAACCCTGTCACCGCACTTCACAACAATACGTTGCCATGAAATCTTACGCTTTGCAGATTACACGAGCGCGTGAAATATTGCACTTGAAACCATTCTCAAGTAAATCGACAAGCGTACAAAAAAATTTAAAAGGTATATAAAAGTGTATAAAAAAATTGTTTCCGTCATTCTAGAGATTACATTTAGTCGTTTTTATACATGCACGCGTTTTATCATATTTTCTATTCCCGAGACGTTCAATATCACGGCTAGTAAAACGACAACCTGTTTTCATTATCACGATAAAGTTTAAGCTCCATTACACCGGCGAAGTTCAAGGATTTTCTCGATCCCGCCTTTAGATAAATTATCTGGGAGCCTCTAATTCGGGCCGCATAATGCTAGGAACCCTCTATGGACGTGTTAGGTCATTTATGACTCCATTCTTAGTCGGACGATCTCTCGGTGGTCGAAACGTAGAGGTACAAATACTCAAAGTTATTAAAGTGGATAGCTCACACTTTTCTTTTTAAGTCATTATAGGTTTTTTTTTCGAAAATTTACAGTTCTAAATCTGGATAAAGTTAGCTGTGATAACAAGATGTCTGAAATATTTTCGTAATTTTGTGGAAATTTATGAAGAACGCAGCTATCATCAACGCTTCCGTTCGAGAATCTTCTAGAAAGTTTCGACTCGCTTATATCTTCTTAAGATAGCGGGCCCGTCCCGAATAGAG